TCTAGGGATTTATTTAGATATGTGACTTATATCTCTCTAAAAATTAAATTAATAAGAAAAACGGTAATTTAAGAAGGGAATGGTCCATCTAAAACTCATCAAAGCCACTTTTGAAACCTGAATCTTTTAAATATTTTTCAATTTTGGGTGAACCTACTTGTTCCTGTTGCATGTGATTTTGGTGCTCTGTTTTTCTTCTCACTTACCTGTCCGAATTTCTGAAGTGTTTTGTATTGGCTCCATACCCCCATCTGTCTGAATAAATATCTGATCACGAACATAAATTTCAAGGTTCTTGGATTTTATGTAGCCCTCCATGTTTTTGGAGGCCCTTTAATATTCTTTGTACACGAACAGATAAGAGTATCTATTTGGTTAGCTTTGGCAACAATTGTTTGCTGGTTGAGTTATGTTTGGAATTCTTTATAGTCCGTTGAAAAGATTTGATGCCACATTTGGTTTTAAATTTCACTTGATTATCTTGTCAAGCAATGAATGTTTGCCCGGTGCTTCTGTTGGGCCATTCAATATCTTTTTAATCACTTGTCCATGAACGTTTCAACCCTACCGAACTCTATTGTATAATTCCTAGCTCTCTCATTCTTCCTCCTTCCTTTCTTTGTATTTTTTTTTATTGACACCTGTAATGGGGGTTTTTGTTCATGTTTATCATGTCATGTTACATAAACTCTCTCTCTCTTTCTCTCTCTTTCTTTTTCCAGGAAAGCAATAGACTGGAATATCTAATACCGAAAAAGACATCACTACGGCACCGATTGCCAATGGGGGATCAAGGGTTTATTGACTTTGTTGCACATCTGCTTGAGATAAATCCCAAGAAACGCCCTTCTGCATCTGAGGCTCTGAAACACCCATGGCTATCTTATCCATATGAACCGATTTCTTCATGAACCATCTGAAGTTTCTTTTGGTTCTATTAACATATTACATCTGTCCTCGTGATTGTAGTTCATTGGCTTTTGAAGCAGGATGGAGGCGCATGTGATTCATGGTTAACATGGCTTGGCCTTTCTTACTGATTTTTGAAGGAATTTTTGCACTTCAAAATTTCTTCCCAATCGAAAGAAAGGTTTGTTCTGTTTTTCATGTCGTGACGAACTTTTTATCCCCTCACCTAGTTGTGCCCTATTAATCCACAATGAAAATGTAGTTTTTGCTGACGATATGTATTCTTGGGGTTTCTCTATTTTTATCTATTTGGAAAGGGGGTAATCTTGTTGTACATGTGTTATAATTATTTAGCGAAACACTTGCGTATCCAAATTTGAAGCAAGGTCAGTGATAGTACGGCAGTAATTATAGTTCAGCTTTTAGACCCCGTGTCCTCGGGCTTCCTTTTTCATTGTATGTCGTGAATGCCCGTTGGGTTGTTTTGTTAGAACTAGGGCTTTCCTGCAATCTCTAGAGAGGTAACTAAAGGAATGGATATTCCACGTGCATATTCGTGTCGCTGATATTTTGAAATGTCGCCACAAATATACATCTCCATTCTTTCTCCCCATCATTAACATTCTCTCTCCCTCTCTCACTCTCTCATGTGCAGATATTGAATATGACAGTTGTTAATGACGCAAATTAAGTAGGATGTAATCAAATCTAATTCCGTAAAGAAGTTTACTTATGATATGAATGTATGTGTACATTTTCTTTTCTGCATGGAAGGATTCTTCCGAGGGAGAAAAGGGAGGAAAAGTTTTAACAAGCAACTAGGCCCAGCTTTATACCTATTCAAACAAGTCCCTAAACTCTTGCCAATATATATTTTTCAATATATAGAAACCACCATCTCTGATTGTTTATAGAGTTTTTCACTTCAGTTCCATATGTATATAAAAATAATGATAAGTTTAAATTGCAACGAGTGTGATATATCTGAACGCGGAGTAGGCTGTAATTTGAAGCGAATGAAATAGAAATGAAGGGCAAATAATAAGAGTGGAGGTGTTGTAGTGAATCTAATGTAAGTGTCAAAGTTTGTGTACAATATATAATATATTTATGCATACATGTATATGTGATCTCATGATCGATCACCCAAATGAGTTAGAGGATATGTAAGACGTGGGATAGGAAGGAGGAAGGAGATTGGTTTAGTAGTATTAATTATGTGAGGATGAGACGGAGTTGGAGGTTTGGGCAGAAAAGAAATCAATGAACGGAAATAGCGGGCGGGCGGCGGTGGCAGTGGCTTCTTGGTTCACCTCTTCATAATCCTCTTTTCTTGAGTTGTCTATCACTTCACTTGCGTTAATGGACTCAGCGTTTAGGTGGAGAAAGTCGTAAAACTCCACGCTTCTATCTGCTCAAACAAACACATATATAATAATTATAGGTAGGAGGAGGAGGAGGAGGATTTTAATTTTACTCAATGAAATAGTAGCATTAGTCTTTACCAGTTGGTTTGGGGATGAATGAAGAAATGGGGTTTGGATATAGAGAGTGGTTGAGAAAGAGGGAAGCGTTGTTTGGTGGACATGACGTTTGCAGAAAGGAAGACAAGAGAAGGTGACTTTGAGATGATGGGCTTAGGGTTTGGGTTTTGGTTATGGCTTTGGCTTTGGCTTTGGCTTTGGCTTTGGCTTTGGAGCTGTCCCTGGACTTGCGAGCCATGATGACATGCCAGTGGTTCTTGACGGCGTTGTCAGTGCGGCCAGGAAACAGCCTTGCAATAATGGCCCATCTGTTCCCATGAACCCTGTGGGACGCCATTAGCCTCTCCTCTTCCTCTTCTGTGAACGGGCTTCTGTTGATTCGAGGATCCAACTGATTGAACCATCTCAGCCGGCAGCTCTTCCCTGAAGGAACTTCCACGTTAATTCATTCATTCATTCATTCATTCCTCCCTACCTAGGCACAATCAATTCATATACCTACGTACGTACCGGATCTTCCTTGAAGCTTTTGAGCTATGGCGTTCCAGTTATGAGGCCCGTATCGCTCCACCAGCTCCCGAAGCTTGTCGTCTTCGGCAGGTCTCCAGTGGCCTCTGCTGCACATTCTAAACCAAACCCACCTCGCCTCTGATTTGATCAGATCAAATATTGAAAACCCTTAACACACTCTAACGAATAACAATATATAAGTAATCCAACTGTGACAACACCTTGCTTCCTACACTCATTTTCGTTCTCCTTTCAACGTCTTTATTTCCTAAGTTTCTAACCTACAACCTCTTCCTTCTTTCATCTCCTCTCCCCTCCTAATCACCCTCCTAATTACCCCCACCTAATTCCCTCAAATAACGTATATATATATATATATATATTCTTAATCACTGCTTAACTTTGGGGTTAATTATAGGAGAGGCAACTCAAAATCAAATAATTGAGAACATAATATATAACTAGACAAAGCCAAGAAGACCCAACTTGATGGTTTTGATCTTATTGAGCAAATTCATCAATTTTACATAATTAATATTCAATAAAATTAGTTGTTTCATTTTGGGGGTTTTCCCATACATTTTGCCATTCAAAATGGTGGTTGGTTTTCTCATTTTGATCAACTTGGTTAGATGGGTTGTTTTGATCATTTGGTTTTTCAAAAAGTTAGTTTCAACCACATTTTTTTTTTTTAATTTTATTTGATGGTGTTAGCTTAATTGGTACATGTTGTTTTTCAAACTATTGACCCTATAGTCATTTTAAACATTTTTCCCGTAATTTGTCAGGTTAACAATATATGAAGGTGGCGACTTGAACCTCTAAAATCCAACTTTCAGATCAAAGATATATGACGTAACCAATGCTCAGGTTGGCTCTAGTATATTGCACAACGAAAACAGAATACTTTCTCGAACCTTATTACTACATGAAGATTCATTAACACCCAAATGGTACATTATATATAAATAAGGATCCTTTAAAGTATAATCCTACCGGTTCTGTACATTACAGTTTTAGATTGTGTTAGGACGATAGGTTTAATGTGCTCACTAACCCAACAAAAGAAGAAGAAGAAGAAATTTAAATATTTCAATACAAAAAGTGAAAGCAAAGCAAAAACAAACAAACATTAAACTTATAGTTAGAACAGATGGATATTGTCTAACTATATCTATATATATACATTTTTTAAATCGTAGACAAATTTTTAGAAGCCACGTTTTACAAACCAATATAATATTGTGTGTATATATAATATTAGGTAAGACTTTGGGTATAATATATAATATTAGGGAGATACATAAAGAGGGCGGAGGTAAAGATTTGAGGGTTATAAGCATATTGAAGGTTATTTAGTTGTTTGGTTCACATTTTGAGAGTTGGGGTAGCATTCTGTGAGGTAGGAGAAGGAGAATATTGCGTGTGAGAAGGAAGAGGAAATGAAAGAGAAGTGGAAACCAAAAGCTGCTGCAGTTAACAAACAACAGTCTCCATCGTCAATTAATTGGTTTGGCAGCCGAAGATTAATAATAAGAAGAAGAATAATGCTCACACCAGTCTCCATCATCTGGATCAAACGAAACAACAACCTACTCATAACAAATATCATCTCTAAATCCCACTGAGATGGAAGCTTCCACTCCCTCTTCCTCCTCCTGCGCCATTGCTCCAACCAACCAGACCTATCCGTTTGATAAGACAGTTAAAAAAGAATGGGCAACCATCCTTACCAAACTTGGATGTTCCAAACGTTTGTCTCATTCTCCCTTCGGTTCTTCTTTTAACATTATTTTATAACGCGCAGAGCGAGATTTCAAGACACCATGTACGCCTTAAACGGCATGAATATGTTTGTGTTCCACAAAGACAGATTATCAGTAAGGAGGTGGATGGAATATAGATTACTTTTGTTTCATTTTTTCAGTAGTTTTTCCAATATCCATATGCCATTAGAAGTATTTATATTGCCAGCTACCAACTTCCTGGGAAGCTTATCTTATGCACCAGTATATTGGATTTGTAAATACATATGATTTTCCTGCAATGTTAAACTAAACCAAGTAGTACCTGAAGAACATGTCTTCCCATAAAAACTGATCCAGTGCAACCTTATTGAAACGTAAATGCAGGTTCACATTTCCTCCAGTAAAACAATAGCATCCCAAACAAATATGGGACTTTACAATTCAAGTTGCTGGCTGTGCTCTGGAACTACAGAATCAAGTTCCCACAGCCTTAACAAATAATTTTATGAACACATCTTTCATCGGCTTATCAGACAAATCACATGAAAAATAGTTCACAGTTTGGATAAAATTGGTCCATCTTTCACAAACCACATAAGTTGGGATTGGGGGTAAGGCAAGATCTAGGCTTCATTTGGACGAATTTCCAACAAGCTATTCTTCTCTGCAAATGTCCAGTGTAGGTCAAATTCTCTATTGATTGATTCGACCCATTTCAGTTTTACCAGGGAGATGATATTGAGGCACGTGTACTTTGGGCATCAAGACCCCCCCTGCTTAGGAACTGCATGAGCAGCAAGACCGGGTAAAATTAATCTCAAGAGATGCAGCTTCCAGACACCAGTTACCATAGGGCTACTAGGACCTGGTGCAAGCAAATGATCATGTAGTAACAGCAGAATTGGATCTCCTGCCAACAATGAGTGCATGCAGTAAACATGCGCACTTGCTTGCTTCCCTGGATTAAAGTGGTTACGCATTCTTCATAAATATTCCATCGTAAACCATACAGGAACGAGTAATATTCATAAAACTTTAAGAGCATAAATTTCAGGTCTTCCAGGGATATTAAGGCCACTCAACCATTCCACCAAATGAATTTCCTTGGTCACTTGGTCAGCATATCTTTTCTAATATCCTAAACCATCATCCTCATGAGAGAAATCCCTTGATAGTTGCTCCTCCTCGTCTTCATCCTCGACATCATCAGCAGATGCAGGTTGTCCATTAAGATCTACATTGACACCATTTACCTTTCTCACAAACTGACCCCGCACACGGGGCCTCCTTTCTGCAAGTCGCTTCCTATTAACATACCTAATCTTCTTATCAAAACACCGCTCTTTCCTTTTCTGCCTAAATTTAATCAGTGCTGCCTCTCTTCTATCAAATTTGTTTGATTTCGCTTCATTGGACAATGCATTTCCAAAAGATGGCCATGAATGAGTATTATTAGCAGCGGGCATTTGACCAGGTTGTAAACATATATTCATGGGGTAATAAGGATAAGATGCCACCCCACTTACATTGGGAGGGCAATGATGAAAATGACCGTACTGTGACATCATTGCCGCATGATTATGCATATCGTGCAAGTTCTTGTGGTACAGTTGCGCCGACATCATACCTTCTGGCGTATAGAAAGGATAAGCAGTTTGTGTTTGCACAGGTAGGCCTGAAATATCAAGTTGAGATCCATTTGGCGGTTGCACATGCACTTGAGAGCAATTTTCTTCATTGAAGCTCCTTTCCTTGTGAACTCCTGAGCCAGCAGGTGGCGTACAAGATCTCTCCACAGAAAAAGAATCAGGAAAACTAGTACTACTTGGGATTTCGTCTCCTTGTGAATGGCTTTCCAGGGCCTCCACACTTTCTGGTATTGGGGGAAGACGAACTACAGGCTGACCAGTTTTTTCTTGATGATTTTCATCCAGCCAAAGTCGTTTGCCATTGTCCTCAACGTCTACTGCCTTAGTCTTCACACTTCTTGATTTGACATACGTAAAGAATGCGGATGATTCCCCAATCTTTAGTTCACTCTTTCTGGGGCATGAGGATGTTTGCCCTGCAACATTACAGAAAAGATTATATTACAAACTAAAAAAAAGGTGGAAGAAAAAAGTTAACAGAGAATCAGCTAATTATAACAAAAGATAAAGCCATGTTAGCATTTATCGCATGTTTCTAGCAGAAGTGACACTATTTGCTACATTCCAATGGAAACTTTTTGGACTATTTTCAACATTATGCTAATGAAAGAGCAGGTTAATTTGATCACTAGCTTACCGATTCGGCGCTCGCTAATTCCAGGTACATCTGGCTGATGTTCCACTGTATGAACAGCAGGAGGTTCTACCAGTGCGGCAGCAATACCAGACTGAAAAGGATGAGTACACGCCATTGAAATGAAGTTCCCAGTTGAGGGTAAAATATAGATGGCGTCCATAAAATAATAAATAAATAAATAAGGATTTCCATGTAACCGTACTTCATAATCCTCAGATAAACCGGTCAAGCATTAAAGAAATAAGTTTTTTCTCAACCTATTTACGATACTTCTGGTAGGAATTAGTGGCAAAATTGAGGAAAACGAAAACTTCAAATAAGAAGGGAACTCGTCATTAAGTCCATAATTTAACTCAACAATCAAGAATAACATGCAATCTAAAACTCAGAATAACTGAAAATTGGTTTTCAAAAGAAAATAAAAATAAATGAACATCGAAATAGTATTATTTCATTTTACTTATTATTTTATCCAAAACTGTAGGCAACATACAATATTTATTTAGGCTTTAAAAGCATCTCTTAGGCCCTCAAGAAAAGAAAAACATTCAAACTGTGTAAGGACAGAAAGCAACCTCATAATATAGTACTTCATACCGCACCATCATTTCAATGCGTCAAAAAAACACTTACCAAAAAAACTTCAAAAAATCATAATATACCAACCTCATCTTCCTGGAGTGTTGCAACTCCCATCTCTGGATTTGTGCTCCTACGTGACTTGTCATCAGTGTCATCCGAGAACAAAGTAGTACTATTTGTGTTGGCATCACTTGGGTCTGATGCCACCAAATCAAATTCATAGTTCAAAATGTTTTTTTCTGCCAGTCCAAGCTGCCATCATAAAACAGATAGACGGTAGGGTGAGATGAAATTGAATATTTTCGTACAAGAAAAGGAAGGGTCTGCAAACACCAGGCGTTGACCAGCTAGATACTAGGGAAGTAATAAATTACAATGATATACATCATCTGCCGATCCAATTCCCTAGACACTTCGATTGCATGTCTATTTGCAACTGATGCACAACCAAATTCTATTTGAGAAAATTACTACAAATGCTTGAAAATAGAGGCAAACCATGCGTCTTCTTCTCCACATATGCGTCCACAAGTTTAATAGCTCATTTGTCCGTAAAGGCTTTACAAGATAGTCGGCTGCTCCAAGCCTCAAGCACTTAACGACAATAGGGACTTCATCTTGTGTTGACATCACTTACAAAGAAGGCCAAAAAAAAAAAACCAGAGAAGAATCAGATCATTCTATTAATTTAGAAATATTAACAGTGTGATAAATCGGCAGTTAACCAGAACTTACTGATAACAGGAATGCGCCGGAGCTCTTTATCCCGGGTGATATACTTCAACATTTTCATACCTTTGGCCATTGGCAGGTCAACTTCTGAGAGTATAATATCAATTTCAGGTCCCTCCGCATTCAAAGCATCGATGACCTGTCTAGCTGAGCTCACGGAAATGACTGCCAACAAAAAGAACACCTTATATCAGTGAAGTAGTTGACCATTCCTGTCAATTACTATTATTGCAAATTATGTAGAAAGCTAGAGGCCAGTGAACCAATAAAACAATTGCTACCTGTAGAATAGGACAGTAGTAACAGAAGATCTTAGAATTTAGACTTACACCCAATCCCATAGTATCACGAGCAACTTTTAGATACTGTAATAAACCTAATCGAAGTCTTAAGCCTCAAAAATCATTCAGGAATTTCAGTAGATGAAACGACTACCTATCATGCATTACTTCTAGCATCCGGACGATTCTATTAAGGAAGGGGGGGAAGGAGAAAAATAAGAATAAAACATGTACCCTGGTAGGAACATTTCAAAAGAAGCTTGAAAACCTCTTCTGAACTTTTTGAATCATTATCGCACAGCAAAATCCTCACTTTGCTCCTGTCTATAAACGCATCTCCTCCATTTTTTACCCCGCTACCACAGGCACCACAATCTTCGTTCAAATTGAGCTCCTTGCAATCCATAACCGATGAACCAGGACCTATACAAAACGCGATTCCCTTCCTAAATAAAAGCAATCAACTATAGCCCAAAAAAGAAAGAAAAGAGAAAAGGAAACACACCAAAAGGTTAAATACATACTAGAGAAGTTCCATCCGCAGTTTCTTCAACCTTCCCACAGAATCCAAATTAGGGTTAGGGTTTCGATCACCGACTTCATTCACGAATCAGAAGATCACCCATCTCATTAAACACCCACCACACCAGAATCAAACCAAAAAGAAACCATCTGTTAAAAGCTCATGAGACTGTGCAACCGGTTATCAATCGCTTTAAGTTGTACAAATTACACTCCTCCGCAAAGGGCAAACTAATGCTTCCGGGAGGTCGGAGAGGCGAAGATCAAACGTGACAACCAGAAATGAATAAAAAAGTTTAAAAAAAAAAAAAAAAAACCCGCTTCACCGGAGAAAGCGCATGTTAGCAGACGTCTGGATGTGTATTCTTCCGGGGGTTTACGGCGAGCCGCAAGCGAAGGCAAAAGAAGATAAAAATCTACGAAGCTTTTGCTGTCTCTGTGTTTTTGTAATTTTTTTCTAAATTTTTTCTTCTTTTCGGAAAAACAAATATCTTAGCTCGATCAGCTTCTGAGGCTAAAATGCACCGCGTTGATCGAAAATGGTGGGGGATGGAGGGATGAGATTGATGAAAGCTGAAGCTCACGATAGCGAAGGCAAAACCAGAAGAGAGGAAAGATTAAAAAAGTGCAAAAGGGGATATTGAAATGGTGAGGTTTGGATAGTTATGTAGAGATAGCGAAGAAGCCACGTCACCTGCAGATCTTCTCCAATGAACCAAATGAAATGTGACCCATTGCCCATTTCCATTTTCTCTCACCAAATTATTCTTTTCATAAATATTCTAAATTTTGGTATTGGCATGGGAGGACCAGAAGTGTTGGCAATCGACGTGGCATGCCAGCAGTGTCCAGCCAGGTCAGCCCACGTGTCTCTCTCTTTTACCTTTTTCTTCCTTTTCTCAAAAGTATAAAACTTTTCGAGATTGGGTATGGTAATTCACGCTGTATACAGTTTATTTGTGATATTAAGTTTGATTAAATTTCGGTTTGATTTTTTTAAATATCGGTAAAAATTGGATAACAGAAAAAAAAAAAAAAAAAAATTAAGTGAAAGTGATGTTTACAAGCTTCATTTNAAAAAAAAAAAAAAAAAAAAATTAAGTGAAAGTGATGTTTACAAGCTTCATTTTTTAAAATAAAAAAATTAATTTTTTGCTAAATCTGAGTACAAAACAAAGAGATAGTACAACTTAGTTAAAATAAAGGTTTCATTCTCCACCCAGGCTTCTCTGGTTGCGTAAACAATCGCTAGGAGCATGAAGTATCCAGCAACTTGGTTGCTGGGATCGACTACGAAAGCAAATTGTTGTGAATTCTACAGCTGCTGAGAAGTGCTCCCATACAGCATTGTTTGGCTTCTTCTCCACAGACCTGTTCCGCAAACCCAGTGATAATGCTAGACCAAGACAAAAGTGTTTCTTCAAACACTTTATACGGTTCATCCAGAACACCACAACTTGCACACATGGATCACAGCATTGCTCAGAGATACCAATGCTTACGGATGTCTCATGAACCGTTAAAAGGACTGCCGGTTTGGCATGTTGCAAACCCGACTCAGACCGAAAATGCTCATGAACCGTCTGAAGTCGTGAATTTAGAGACAAAATAAGTTTTTTTAAAAAATAAAGGATAAAAATATCCTAAGAAGAAGATTTTATTGGACAATAGATATTTCTCCCAAGTTTATATTATGGAATTTGTACTCGGATGTTATAGTACATAACAAATCTTCAAGTGGCAATCTACAGGCTTCTTCTGTGGAGATGGCAACCATGTCTGAGATAAGAGCTTGAAGAACACAACCTTCTGATATATTCAGCTGCAAATTCTCTCTGCATTTAGAAGAAGAAACAAGCGGTAAGATCAGGTAGCATCGTAGCAGCAGAATACTATCTATCAAGATCATAAAGAACAACTTACATGGCAATGAATAACACAACAATACTATTATCAGCTGAAGCAATTCAGATCTTGTACAAGTCACTTTCATACTGGAACTGCCTGGGGCCTTTTGCTTGTCTTGATTCCTTTTATGGCTGTTCAAGAATGGAGTTGAGGGCATAATTTAATTAAAATGTGAGAGGGAGGGGTGGAAAGAAGTGTATGGATCATACCCTCAGCATAATCTTTAGCTCCAAAAACAGCAGAACCTGCAACTAAAGCATTGGCTCCAGCCTCAATGACCTGCAATCAGGGTGGCAATCCAGAACTTGCTTTAGAAACTCATGTAATAAAAGTTGCTGTTTTGGGAAATGTTACTGTATGCACCTTGTATGCATTGCCCGGACCGACTCCACCGTCCACTTCAATCCATGGGTTCACTCCCTGCAACAAAGCAAATGAAATGTCAATGGGTTTGGGTTTTAAATCTTTGCAAGTGATGGAAAAAGCTAGCGAAGAGGGAAATTGTACCTTTTCAGCACATAATCTTCTTAATTCTGAGATTTTCTTCACTTGGCTCTCAATAAAGCTTTGCCCACCAAAACCAGGATTTACCGACATAATTAAGACTAAATCAACCACTGTAAACAGGGAAAGGGAATTGTTAACCTCCAAGATAGATATCTCCACTTTTAACCTCCAATCCAATCAACTGGTCATTTTTCTTCCCTAAATTCATGTCAAAATTCTTAAAAATAACACCACGGAACAGATAACATCATTCCAAACATTCCAACCCTTTCTAATAATGGTCACAGTGGAACATGTCAGCAATTACATATGGGGGGAGAGAGAGGGAGTCACCGTCAAGGACATATTCTATTGTGGTGAGTGAAGTAGCAGGATTTAGGACCACTCCAGCTTTAGCTCCAAGACTTTTTATCTGAATCATATTTAAAGGAGTGGCCATTATGAATAAATAAAGATATATGCCTTTCCGTCTAAAATGAAACTCATTTTCATTCCCAACTCAGCCATAAAGCAGCCATAAACCACTAAACTACATATTCTATTGTTGTAAACTACATGTTGGATTTTGCATTTCTTTTTCATTTGTATATATATCTTACTATAAACGAAAACGTGTACAACGTTATGGAGGAGGAAATCTTACTTGATTAAGGGTACGGTGCAGATGGATTGTGGAAGATTGCTCACAATGAACGCTGACAATATCGGCACCAGCCTTTATAAAGTCTGGCACACGCTGCTCGGGCTCCACAATCATCTACAGTGCTTTGACTTTATGTTAACAGAAGCACTTAAGAATCACTGCTAACACCAAGGGGAATCAAAATGAGAAAGAAGCATACCAAATGCACATCTAAAGGAAGATCTGTCACAGGGCGTAGAGCATCAACGACAAGAGGTCCAATTGTGATATTTGGAACAAAACGACCATCCATTACGTCAACATGAATCCAATCACAACCTGCCAGTTCCACTGCTTTCACCTACCAAAGATGAGAATGTCAATCAATTGTATAAATTAGTCGGAAGTGCACAGCAAAACAAACTAAAATAACGGAAAGTTTAGAACACTGAAGAGAACCTGCTCTCCCAATTTTGCAAAGTTAGCAGAGAGGATGGAGGGAGAGACGATTATATCAGATTTTGAGTATTTATCAACCCGAGCTGAAGCTTTTGCCACATTTCTGAACCTCCTCCTAGAAAATTAGTAGCAACACAAAGTGAACAGGAGAACAATGGATACCAAATAGTTGTTCATAAATATAATCCATTTCTCCATCCACACAGAAAGTACAGAAGAAAAATAGAGTACAAAGTGGGAGACAATCGGCAAATCTTTATCTAGCTGGGTTGGAAGTGGAACCAAAAATCGCAATGGGTGTCATAAAATCTACTCAATTTCAAAACCCACAAATCAAATCACATAGATAGCAAAGAAAATACACAAATCCATAAAGCTCGTTTGTTCAATCTCAGAATTTTAAAGAGACCGCTAAATTATCACCTCATACCATGATTATGAACCAGAAGACAAAGGGGAAGTCAAAGCTGCATCAATTGCCATATACAAACTATAATTCATATACAGTCAAGGATTTGCAACGGCTGTGAAACTGATTCCATAGCCCACAAGGAGGCTTAAAGTAATCGAACAGATGAATAAGAAAGAGGGCACCCCATAAATCAAATTACCTCGAAAAGGGAAGAGAGGTAGGTTGAGAAAGAGCTGGTTTCTGAAAAGTGAGGCCTCCGATAAAGCCACTCACCTGGGGTTGCATAGTGGATTGACATAACGAAGCAACGGCCATTTTGGAGTATCGACCGAAGAACCCTTTCCGGGTTTCAAAGGTTGGGTAAAGATTCAAACAATGAAAATGGGTTGTTCCGCTCTCATTCCCTCCAGCATGAAAAATGTAAGACTACCAAATCTAAACAACAAATGGTAAAGCAAGAATTAAAAATGGATAAAAGAAATGAGTGGATGAGGAGAGCGGTACGAATTCAGGGATTGCTTATCGCCAATGCTTGGCCTTCTATCTTGCTGACATGAGAGCGAGGGATTCAAATGTCTTCTTTTGACGATAAATTTTAGATTTTTGACTTCTTTCTTCATGAATTTTAATTTCAAAATACTATTTCCATGTTGTTACCTTCTTTACCTTATTTATTTATTTATTATAGTTTCTAAACTTCATGTCCATTCTAATTTCTATATTTATATTTTTAGCCCTACAACATTTCTACCTCCATTCTACATCTATTGATCTGAAATTTTGTATGTATAATTAAAATCACACCTTTTAAAAGTTTAGATATGATGATTAAATTTAATATAAACCTAATTCAACCTATTTAACCTATGCTACCAACTAATAAGTTAAAGTTCGAATCTTCCACTTTTATGAGTGGTTGATATAAATCATTAATTTATATCATAGTGTCCAAGATTGGTATGTTATAAATGTATGGAAAAAGAAATAGTACAAATTTTCAAAGACATTCCAACAGAAGATTGTGTACTGTTAGAAATAATTATCTCTCTCTGTCCAGTTTGGATAGTTATCTTTTTCTAAATTGGAATAACCAGTAATGAGTAAATATTAGACAGTTCTGTCAATTTATGTAGAAGGTTAATCAAAACATTAGTTGCCAAAGTGGTTCGACTTTCCATTAGAAAAAGACCCGCAAAGATTCTTAGTTTTGAATCACTGGATCACAAAGCTTCTCAACACCGACAAGCCGGAATAGACACTAAAAGATAGATCCCGATTCACGAGTAGCTTTATTTCTTCGGTTTATTGGCTGCACCAAGATTTCCCGTTGAAACATAAATTCAGCAAATTCAACCACAACTCTCCTAATTGCTATGGGAAAATACTGAAGAACAATAAGAGCACAGATCCAAGTGGAATGATCTTGCCATCTCTTGTTTATCTTCATTTGGTCCATGAATATGATGATGATGACAAGCTTTTTTTCTGTGATCAACACCAATCTCTTCTGCACCAATCCCCTTGGCTTGTTATGAAAACAGACAACTATTTTGTCCCCTCTCTCTTTTTGATCCCATCATTCGAGAAAGAACTTCATGATCTTTTCCCAAATAAATATACAGTTTTCCACTTCTTGGGTCGATATCTGATTCATCCCGTGAATTCAGTTTGGGGACTGATTACGAGATATTATCAGGCTTACTTGGCTAGAGCTAGTGAAAGAATAGGCATTCAGATTAGAGTGTTTGATACAGGAACTGGACCTTTTCAACACATCTTGGATCAGGTTTTGGACTGT